TGTGAGGCTCAGTTAGTTAATTATAGTAAAGCTTCTGAATAATAATCATAATAACACTTAGCAAATGAAAAGCGGGTATTATTATCGTTAAAGTAATGACAAGGCACCCTGCTGAAAGAAGCAAATATAATGCTGATTATTAAAATCATTTGTATTTAGTGGCAAATGTTGCTGCTGCTCTATAAAGTTAGAGATGTAATCTTGTTCCCAAGCCGTAACAATAAGTAATTCTGAGTGCTTTGTTGTGAGGTTTCTCAGGATATAGGAACAAACAGGTACCTTCAGTCAAAGGGCTTCTATTTTAAAAATTAAGAAAACAGTGGGAAAAAAAAGAGAAGAAAAGCAACATCTTGCTGAGATGAGGCCAAAGGTGTGTGTCTTATCAGAGCATAAGCTGTCTGCTCTGCCCACTCCTTCCAGGGCAGCGTGCCCTAGGAGCAAGGGGTGAATTTGGGAAGAGTTGCAAGGGGTGAAAGAAGGAGGAGGGGGGCAAGTTTGATTCTCGAGGATAGCTGAAGGCAAGAATTCAGTACAAATAGCACACATTAATTAATTATTTCTACCAAGCCCAATGGTAAGCTCTCAGATTTGCTACTGTCCATATAGCTTATATATCCACCACTTCCTTTGAGTTCTCAGTGTCACAGCCCAGCCACTCTGGGCTCTCTTTCTTCTCATGCACATGGTTGAAGCTTTCTCACAGAAAACTTCCCTGCTTTGCCCAGGGCACAGCAGAAATAAGCCCCAAACCAGAGAGGATCCAATCACAGCAATGCTGTGAGGCTATCTTGTCAAGGGGAACAGCTGGAATGAGGAAATAGAGGGAGAGTTTGAACAGAGAAAACAACTTCTGATTCTGAAATAAATATCTATCTTTTTTGGTTAATGATTTTTTTTTCTTCTTTTTTTCCTCTTTAATTACAGTTTAAGATTTGAGAGACTGGAAGGAGCCTGTTGAAAAGTCATTGCTGTCAAATGCCTTATGGAAAAATGCTTGCTCCCATCAGGAATATCCCCACTTTGAGTGGTCATAGCTGGCTGACATCGTAGACGTTGTCTCAGAAAAGGGTAAAAACATTGAGCATGTCTCTGGAGAATCCCATCACTCTCCAGACGTGCTCACTGTGAATCCTGCTTTAAAACAAATAGTAGAGAGGGAAAAAATCTGCAGAGTCACTGTTTGTGCTGTATATTCTGTGTTGATGGATGGGTTCCGTTACTGCAGCTATTAACCCAGCAATTTTTAGGAACATAAAATTAATTTTTGGAGGAAATAAACTACATAAATAAAATGAGTATAATTGAATATTGCTCTAGTTTCATGGATTCTAGGGCTGTAAATTGTGCTTGACGTTCATGGTGTCAGGCTCCGAGGTCTTTAATTCTGTTCCTTAAGTGTGACTTATGCAGTGAGGGGCTAATGTTTGTTTCAGCAAGTTTGACTATCTCAAGGGGATCCCAAAATTGCCATAAAAGTAAAGGGCTGAGTTGTTAATACAATCTTTTTGCTTTTGGGCTGTAATATTTCACCTTAAAGTTGACTTTTGATCCTTGGAATGGTTATTATTCACATAAATCTAAGGAATGTGAATGTGGCATAAATATTTAGGTTGACATTCAGGTATTTGTATTTTACTTGTGGTTGTATTGTGGTTGAGGTTGTATTGTATTTTTGGTCCTGTGACTGTACTTATCTACTTCCAAGGTCTTTTGTGGCCAGTTTTGGAGAGTTGAATTGTAACTCATTTCACATCCTGGGGTGAGAATTCACATGTTTCAGCTTTTGAGCCCTCAAGCGTACAAAAATGCAAACACGAGGATGTAAGTTTTATGGTAAATCAGACAATTCTTATCTTAGGAACCTGCCAGTTAGTTTTGATCGACTTCTGGAAGCGCAAGTTTTGAGACCCAGAAATTCATCGTTATAACTGTAGCATCCTTAGACAGCACTGTGAGCCGCCAAGAATAGAAACCACATTAGATACATGAATTTACCTCTTATAAGGTCTTGTCTTGACACTGGCATCTCCCTAGATGATCAAGTGTAAGAGAAACAGAATCCATGGAGGTATCTTTTCTGGTCCAGTCTGGCAGAGGCAGTTAGGAACTCTTCACTTTCTTTGTTTAATTTATTATACTGTCATGCATAAACATCTTCAGGAAAATATTAATTAGAGTGTGTATTCCTTAACAACGAACTCTAAATGGATTAAACATGCTTTACTCGATGAAGCAAAGAAGTGTTGATTAAGAGAAATTGAATTGTATCCCTGAGATAATTTTCTGTCTCTGTGTCTAGAGAATATGGGCAAACCAATGCTTGTAGAAGAAACTGAGCCACCACACTTCAAGTATCTCAAGAAAATAATATCCAGGACATACATATTAATTGATTTAATGTAAAAATGCTTGATACAAACTTGTGCTGAGACTTTAAATTGAGGTCCTGACCATTCTCTGTGGTCACTAGAGGATCCCACAAGAATGGGAACGACCTGGCAATTTCCAGTTTGGATAATTATGTTCTGCCTCCTTACCATTCCCCATGCCCTTTCAATTAGTATGATAATCATCTTCACTTTGCGACCTACACTGAAGTATAAGTGAAGGAACATGCTGTTAAATAGCTGCCATGCTCCACCCCAGAATCAACCACTTTTCGGCAGTGATGCTGGAATGGAGAGCTTTGTCTTAAACATGCAGAAAAGCTCACTTTAAGCAAAAAGGGACAAATAAAGGAGCTGTGTCATTGTAAATTCAGTAAAATAACATCAGGTGAGGAGACCTCCGCTGCAGCTCAAGGGTGAATTTTTAGTACGACTAGTGCAGTCCATCAAGCAGCTGCGGAGGGATGAAGAGCTGCTGCAGCTTCTATCTCCCTGACAATGTGATTTAAAGAACTGCTCTTTGCTGGCCTGGCCTTGTGTCTTTCAGTTGCCTTGAAAGGGAGGGAGAAGCAAGTCTCTGCTCCCTCATTGGCATTTGTCTTAAAAATAATAAATAAATAAAAAAGAAAAGAAAGAAAACCCAGGGAGCGTGCGGTTGAGTGGTGGAGAGACGGTTTTCCACACCGAAACCCCTGGCCAGCCCTTGAGTAACATGACAATGGGAATATTTCACTGTGCTTCCTATGATTTGTTTACATTCTCCTTAATGGTGAGGTGTTTTTTACACCTTGTGACAGACACAGTTTGCTCTAAGACAGTGGTCCCAGCTGCCTTTTGGGTAGCAGTTTCCTTGCAAGAGATATGTTTCTATTTTGTGTGTTTTTTGATATGCAGCCTAAATGAAGTCTCTGAAGGAGGATCTGTCTTTTGCTAACAGCCATCATTTTTATATAAAGTCGAAGGTATTCATATTATGTCTTCATCTTCTATATCTCAACTAGTAACAATATCACAACTACTCCCTCCTGACAACTATATTCATTTCTCATTAAAGATATTTCATGTTTTATTCAGGAATTTAAATGAAGCTATCAGAGCCTGTAATAGCAACAGTTTGGGATAATTGTATCTCATTGATGGCAGCCTCAAGAGTTCTAATTAATATATATTTAGCTCCCTGGCTGTCTTTAGACCAAATGCCTCAGTATGAAAGACAGGGAGAGGCGATAAGGGGAGGGGGAAGGGAACAGACTCCAAAATAACAGCCCCTTTTGGAAATTTGGATAGGAAAATCTGTGTTTCAAGAAGGAACTGCGTGCTTAGGGATTCTTTCCTTTCTTTTTTTTTTCATCCCCATTCAATCAAAAATAACTTTTGAGATATAGGCTCGTTCTCAAGAAAAGAAAATACAAGAATATAGATTTACTGCCCACTTGTTTGGGAAGGGGGGAAGGAAGGATGACAAATATGTATTTTTCTCCTCCAATGATACACCTGATATCCAAGTTCAGCTTATCAGTGGTCTCTCCTTTTATTACCTCTTTCCCTGCCTCCTTCAGCCAGAGTGCTCCATTCAAAATTGCTCAGTTTCACAGATATGATCTGCAATGCAAACAGGCTCTCATTACACTTTTTCATACTAAGGAAAAAAGAAAGCTTACTTTGGTGTATGCCTGATTAGCCCTCACTGTACAGCTCTCCATTTTCTTATTCCCTTTGGGCTATTTTTATTCCCCCCCTCCCTTTCCTTCAACACTACCTTTTTCTCTGTTGTATGAAATGAGGCTAGGAAAAGATTTGGGGAGGGGGTATTATTCTGTCATTGGAATTCATAGCACTTGTATTCACTTACAAGCCTGAACTATTTTCTCAAATCACTTCAGTCTCTGTGACTTTCTCAGACTGTAGTTTATAAATCACTTTTGTGGTACACTATCTAGAGGGGATCAAGACCCCTGGAAGCTTGAGTCATATTGAATTGCATTGTGTAACGGAGAGTCATTAGGAGTTTACAGTCAGGGGGAAAAAAGAAGTCTTATAAATAGGCTAATTCAACTGGCACTTATATGTTTTAAAGGCATTATTGAGGAAGGAGGATGGCAGTATTATTTGCTCCCAATTTTGCTCTCATCAGCAGCAGCTGAGGGTGGCTCTTGAATAGGACAGGAATAGAGATTTTATAGACCTCCAGCTTTAAAACCTCTGGGAGTTTTTTTGCCCTTTATTATTTAAGCAAGTACTAAGGACTGTTCATGGGTTTATTTCACTGACTTCCAAGCTGGAAGCTCGTCCAGCCTATGCAGGCTCAAATTGCCTCAGTTTCTCCTGAATAAAAGTTGCTTTTCTCGTACTTTTACTGATTTTTTAAAGGTGTCCATTTGAGTGGAGTATCTTGTGCAGAGCAGAACAGGGGCTTTCTGACAGTAAAAGGATTTTTGGTAGGAGCTTTACACGGCAGCTGCGGTTTTTCAGTCTGAGTCTGACAGTCAGGAATAAGGCTATTGCAGGAAAGTATCCATGGCTTTTAGCCTTCTTTTTTTCCTATTTTTTTAAGAAAAAAAGAGTGGTGTAATGAGAAGGTATTTATTTGATTTGGGTGTGTTTCACTTGCAGATTCATGACACCAAAGTGTCAGCCCCTGGGTGTTGCCTTGATGCAGACTGGATCTTCTTGGCTGAGGTTGGAGGATATCGAATACCTGGATATCCTCATGCTTACAGGTGTGGTAGAGGGAGAACAATGACCAGAAGCAGGTGCCTGGCCCTCAGGAACTCTGACTCACTGCCAGCAAGCTCACTTCTAGCCGAAATTGCTGTTTTTTCAACCAGAATGGTGACAATTTTCAGTGTTGTCTGCAGATCTCGGTCCCATGTCATCCACTTCCATGCCATCTGCGGGGTCACCGTGCTCAGCACAGACAGGATTTTCTCAGCAAAACAAAGCGAATCCAAAGCAAACCCTCTGTTAAAAACAAGAGTGGAGTCAGGAGTTCAAAGGGTGGAGAGTTGAGCGGGCTCGTGTGGCCAGCAGCTGCTCTGTATGAAGTGTCTCCTTGGGATTCGGTTGATGGGCTGCTCTGCAGCTCTGCCCTGGCGCTTCCATAACCTGGGTTGGAATCCAGCCCAGCCCTGAGAGATGGAGGGTCAGTCCAGTGTGATAGTGTAAGGTCAGAAATGGAATGAGGCTGGGATATCTCAATTGAGATTCGAGTGTATAAAAGTATAAATCAAAAAAGCAAAATCCTTGAAAGGACACCTTGCAGCTGTCTCAGGAAATGAAAGGCTTTAAAATAAGAAGGCTCAAGAACAGGAGAATCCTGCAGCCGGTGCAACTAATAACACTGTTTGGTTTTGACTCAGTGAATAGCAAACTTCTCTCTGCTGACTGGAAAAGTAGAGAGGGTGTACTGTCAAACCTGCGGAGAGATGCTGCTCCTTAACCTAGCAAGCTGCCAGCATCCTGGGGAGGTTATATGTGCACGTAAATACAAATCACATAATTTATACTGCTACTTGCTGACCAAATACGCTAAAAAAGTTGTTCTAAAAAGGCTTTGCCAACTGTAGGGACTCTTCTTCTGTGTCCTTTAATATTCTCAACAGGCTCAAAGTTCACCACCAAAGTCATGGAAGGGGAAGAGAATGGGCTTTTTCATCCATGTTGCTCCTGAATGCTGCTGTCTCATTTTGCTGCAGGATACTCATAATTTTATGCTTATTTAAACAGACACATATCTAGTTTATGGGCATATTCCAGGAAAAAAAAAAAAAGAAAAAAAGGCATGTAGCTTAGAGTGCAGTTCTCATGGGCAAACACCTGATCCCCTTTAATAAGAGATAAAAGGGAAACTATTCCCTTGCCAAGGTGCTACATTACAGGGCTTAGCTTGCAGTAGCACGCTGGTAGCTGCACGTCCAAGTAGTTCATGGCACTGCAAAGGCTCAGCTTGCAGGTACCATGATTATCAGCAGCTTGTGCCAATGTCGCTTATACCCACTGTAGCAGAACTTGGATGTAGCACTGAGCACCACACACATGGGACACAGAAGAGGTTTAGAGGTTCAGGATGTGCACTTCTGCCAGTCAAACACAGTTCAAAGGTGGACCCAACTGATGTTTCAAGCTGCATCAGCCTGATCCTTCCTGTTTTAAGGATTTAGAGGTGGGGTTTTTTTTTTCCTTTGTAATTCCCAGTGGCTTGATATTTTTATTCCTATTAGTATTTCCTTAAGGACAGTGAGTTGAGTGCTCAGCTCCCGTATGCTAGCGTATTTCCCCTCCTCCTAAGGATATTTATAAGTTGACATTTGTGGGTTTTCTTTGAAATGGTCCATGCTGGTGCACTTTTATTCTCTGCAGTGTCTGTCATTAGTTAGTTGCAAGCTTTGGATTACTTTGTCTTGCTCACAGAGATGGTCAAAGCAGTTTAAAAACCCAGATGGCTCAGCTGTGTAAAGTGATAAAAGCTGTGCAGGCTAAAATGCTGGACCTGTATTTATCTATAGGGCCATCCATAGGATGTCTCTTCACACAACTTTAAAGCTGCTGCTTCTGTGGAATTGTCTTTAACCAATAATATAATGAAACATGCTAAATGCAGGTACCTAACACCTAGCTATTGATCAGGGTCCTTGAGACCCAGACCAGAAAAGATGGGCTGATCCCTGTAAGCATTACTCACACACACCACCACCACCTGTGTTACACAGAAAAGTGCCAGGAAGACTTTTTTAAGGAGATGGAATATACAGGGTTTGTTACTTGTTAAAACTTCAGTGAGGAAGGCTATACCTTTGTTTTATCTTTTGGTCCCTGTTGAATGAAATTGTGCTTTTATTAACTACTAAATTGTGCTTTTAATAACAGGATATTAAAGGACTGATCTATAAGCAAAACGCCACTCAGGTTCTCAGATTTCAAGAAAAGCCACTATAGGTGAGTTAAATGTTCCTGACATATCCAGCAAGTCCTCTCAGTAATTTTAAAGTAGAAAGTAAACATTGTAGATGTTGACTGAGTAACTTTTCAGGCAAACTTGTACCTTCACTGAACCAGAAGGTATCTCTTATTCACACCAATATGGACACACCAGGAACCCTGTAAGAAACTACATTTAGGAGAAGGTTCCATTGAGCAAACCCAATGTGCACTTAGTTCAGATAAACCCTGGAGAGTCAACCAGTGAGACCTCAAAGTCCAGTGTAATTTGCAGCCTGATGTATCCCAGTCAAACTTCACTGCTCTCTTTCTACAAATCAAATGGAAAAAATCAGGCAAAATGGTCAGGCACTCATCTATGGCTCCAGAATAAGTGCATAGTCTGCTTCATGGTCTCTGGGTCTTGTCTGATTTCTGCTCATATGCCACTGAAGAAGTCAGTGCAGGTTTTAATTTGACATTTAGCCTGTGCAGAAGCATTTACATGCTTAAAAAGAAGGTAGATATTATTCAGATGTGTTTAATTTTTAACGATGTTGTAAACAAGTCATTTTCAAAAACCTTTCTTTTAAAAGCACTGTTTGGATAATTGCCCTCACAAACAGCAGAGTTAAATGGCTAACCTGCTTCCTTCCCCAGGTGGCTGGCAAAATACTTCTTGCATCTAAAGCTTTATATGGTGCCTTTTACAGAGGTAGTGTGTGAAGGGAAAGGAAAATATTTTGGAGGTGCAGCTCAAAATTTCTTCTGATTTTTCTGGCAGCCGTGGAACACAGATGGTTGCTCTATGGAGAATGTGTTCTCCTGGGTAGGCAAAGGGGATCCTTGAATGTTATTTTTAAGCATTACTTAAAATAAATAGATAAAATAGTCCAAAAGTCTAGCAGCAAATGGGAACTTGGCCTGAGAGAGTATGGAGTTTGCAGGTGTCCTCTTTTTGCTGGTTGTGGTCTTCCTTAGCCATGATCTTCTTTTAAGATTTGATCAATGCTATTGTAGCTCTTCAGAATTGTGTGGTTTGAACCCATTAAAGTTTTTGTGGTGTCTGACAGCTTTTCCCTTTCTAAACAAGAAAAGACAACTGCATACACTCAAACTAATGATACTGAAAATCGGCTGAAAGCAGGGTAAGAGAGAAAGGAGAAGAAAAGATTAAGGAAACCCCCTTCTTTGAATCCATCCTTTTGTTTTATGGCTGATGTAACCTCTCTTTGGCATATCAACAAGGAGCAAAGAATTGAAATAAACTGAAAGGGTTGGAGATTAGAAGGGAATTCTCTGTAGCAGTTCAAGAAAGCCACCAATGGCTTGTGCTGGTGTTGGCTGCTCTCCCCCACCTTTCCCACTCCATCCCCCCTCGTTACACGATACTACTTGGGAACATGTTATCAAGGACTGAGAATCAGGCCAGTGGCTGCTGATGTTGAAAGGACATGACATGTGCACAAGGCAGGGCATAGGGGCTGGCTGCACATATTAAAGGCACACACATCACAATCCAATTAGTAGAAATGGAGTGTGTGTGCTTGCTCTGGGAATTATTTTTTTTTTTAAAGTAATACTTCTGTGCCTTTTCTATTGATTGATTTATTTTTGAAAGGAGTAATTCCCTTCTAGCTTTTCTCTCTCCTCTCCTCCCTCCTTCTCCCCACCTTCAATTCCTTCATCCCTGCATTTTCACCTCACCAGAGCTCCTGAGGAACAGGAGTTCAAAGGCTATTGGAGTAGAAAAAAAAAAAGAGTAATAAAAAATATTGCAGATGCAAAGAGTTCTCTAATCTCTTTTTGACCTGTCCTCTACAACAGGCAATTTCTGCAAATCTAACACAAAACTTGTAAATCTTCAGTACTGGGAGACTGCAAGGGATAAAAGCAATGCATGATGTTCCATTAGAATTTAAGCTGACTAGCAAAATGTGTGTGTGTATAAATTTTTGCTAGCTATGTTTTTACAGTTGTTTTAAGTGTGTCTCATATTCTTTAATATGTTCCTTAGCCACCAGAGTATTTATTGTTTTACTAGAATGCGTCTCCTGTAGCTTGCTTTCATTATTTCAGTAGGAATGAAGGGAAACAGATTCTTAAAGGAAGGACAGATTTTAAGAGTCTGACACTTGGAAAAAATACAATTGTCATTAGATTCAGAACACTTTATTGAAAGCAGACTAAAGAATACAGTCTGTATTCAATATCTATAATGGTGCATTCGGATTCTAATATAATGAGCAATACTATGCTGTTGGACTGTAACCTTCCTGTTTGTTTAGCTCCCAGTCTAACTGAATAATTAAACATGCGTAAATTTAAGTTTGCATATAGTCCCGTTGAGAATAAGGGAATTTCTTGTCTGCCTAAAGTTAGACTCGCTGTAAGTACTTTGCTGGTTGAGGCCCAAAGTTTTTTTCAAGTCATTATGCTCAAAGGTATCCTTGCTCAGCAAATCACTTAAAAGCCTGCTCGGTTTTAAGCATGTGTTCAAATCTCACTGCTTAGAATTCATTTTGGTAAGATGTGTGTGGTCATGAGGTTAGTCTAAGGGAAAGGTCAATCGGCAGAGAAATCGGACAAGTTTTCTTTGCAGTTAGGATGGTAAATACATAGAATTTAGTTAGAGGAAAACAAAACCATGGGGAAAAGGAGAAGTTCAAATGAGGTAGGTGGACCTACATGGGCATTCTTGCTTCCTTCCTTCCCACAGCTTCCTCTGTTCCTATAATCTCAGCACAGATGTTTCCTTTTTAATCCCTGGCTCCAGCTGGCAGTGCATCTCTGCTCTACCGTACTTAGTCGCAATTACTGCAGACATTAACTCTGCACATGCTTCGGAAATTGTCTGCTTTTTCTTCCTTGGAAATGTTGCTCATCATCAGGTTTTTAACAGCCAGAAATAAAGGCCATTTGTATACTGATGAATCCTATTCCCTTCAAGATTTGTAAGAGAGATAAAAGAAGCAGGCTTAAAACAATTGCTGGCAGGGTGGAAAATTTGGGTATTTAATTTATAATACCTTCCTTTACAAGTACAGAGTATCTTCATCATGTGACAGAGAAGGAATGGGAAAAATTTCAAGCACATGCCATATTCACCTGCCTGCTCTTTGCTTTTCAAGACTAACCACAAGTGCTGTATTTGTTTATTTTGATTAGCAAAGCAGAGGTTTGCTATACGAAGCTGTTTTCAGGGCATGTCTTCTTGTAGATGAACTTTCATTTACTAATTCTGTGGGGCTTGATCAAACTGTCTGGAGTTGCAACCACAAAATCTGTAGCTGGTGGCTGGATATACTCTTTTCTTCCACCCAGGTATAGCACTGTGTCATGTCACGTTCACCCATTTGTGGTGTGATGCTGCTGAAGTACCATCAGGCCACATTCTTACTGAGTAAAATACAACTGTGCCTCAGGCTTGGCAGCAATGCAGAGGTCTCCAGCTGCTGGATTCGGGGGTCCCAGTTTAACCTGTGTATATTTTTCTATATCCATATTATTCTGTATCCAAGTAACTTTCTATTCGATGTACAAGAATCTGAGGCAGACACGGTAACCATGGTAGGTGGGACTGATGGACAAAGGAACAGTAGAGAATCTGGAGACGCTGCATATCAGATATATCAAACTCAAATAATCTATGTAGACTATGTGAAATATCTTTAAGACTACCAGGAAATCCTTCAGTTGAGCTGGACTCTGTGTTTTCACGCATGATACTTACGATTTTCTAGTTTTGGCTCTTGAGAGCAAATTGGTTTTGTGCACTAAAATCTATTAACGAAGTTAATGTGTGTTGCTCACTTTGTTCTCCTCATTCCCCACAGCACTTGATGGAAGCACTGAATACATTCCCATTGCTTTCACCCTGTTCCTGTGGAGGAGGCGAATGGATAGCACATCCAGCATTTCAAGTGGCTGCTAATATGACATGTACAACTTCAGACATTTATGCAAGCACCCAGAATAAGAAGATGAAGTTGGCAACAACCTGAGGTCATCTTGCCTATGAACTGCCTAACCACTGCCCTTTAGGTAAGAAACTGTAAACCTGTGCTTATCTCTACCAGTTAGTGTTCTTAAGTGAGCAGACCATTGCAGATTAGATAGATGTGCTGTTACAGACTCAAAACCCTTTTAAAGCCCCTGGAGAGCTTTCAGTATGGATTCGTGCTGCCTTTCAGTCAATAAGAAACACAGAAATGGTTTGACAATGACAGTTCTAGGACTAAAATGAAAAAGTTCTGCCAAATGGTAACAACTCTGTATGTACCTGTGGAAAACTTGCATAGACGTGTGTATAGTTTTCTCAGGAATGACCCATAAAATCTAGATTATTATATGAGAGTTTTATTTACACTATTGCATAATATTGTATGCAGTCTTCAATATCATTACATTCCACTGAAAGGGCACAATGATTATTTTGGCTTCCTACTGCTATTGTATCTGTTCACTGATGGGGAAGGAGAAAGGAGAGTGAGAAGAAGAAAACAAAACTGAAAGTGCTTGAGGACAATTCAATGTTGAAATTGTCTTCGTTAAATACAGGAAAAGTGCAAAATAAGCCCTCTTTGAAACTTGCTCAATAAAAGCTATTATAAAGCTCTCAATAATTTTTGTCCAGCTTCGGCTGTTATTGTGCTCTTCTAGTCAAGACAAAGTGTGTATATAGACATCACTGAGATCAACTATTGGCAAATTAAAGAAAACAGTAAGTGCATCTTGGTTACTGCAGAGAAACTAACTGTGCAAAATCCTACTCCTAAGTAAAGCAGGAAGAAAAGAGAAAGTTAATGATTTATTTTTTGTTTTTAGCTGTGGGGCTTCTCTTTGCTCTTATTTTATGTAGCATGCCCAAGAATGCCAGAAATAGTTTGATACATATGAGAAAACCAAAATAATATATGGAGACTTTTTGCACGGGGGGGATGCTTTGCAGGGAGACCTATGAACTTGTTTCAAGGTTCACACACACCCTGGACCCCCCAAAAGAGATGAAAAAACCCAATCCAAAGCAAAGTCCTGTAGAGATGTAGAACTAAGATGGAGCTGCAGTGAGGCCAGATGTAGTAAGGCTTCTGCATTGTAGTATTTAACATTTCAAACCAGTTCCAGGTGGCTTACAAAATAGTTGGCCTTCTGAGAATGAGCATCATTTAAAAAAAATGTAGAATCATAGAAATATAGCAGTAGTAGTGTTCTTTGGAGGATTAAGGAACTTCAAAGCAGCCTCTCCTGACCCTCCCAATTCCGCTTTAAACCATAGCAGTGGTCATTAAAGTTATTTTTCCCTGTCAAAGAAGTTTTGCCAGTTTGTCATCTTTAGCTTTTATTAATTGATCTCGTGCAGCTGGTAGTTTAAAATGTTTAGAAGAATTAATCTGTACTTACTTATTCTTTGTTAAATCCACTGCATTTTCCATGATATTTTTGTTGCATGTAAAGTCAGCAAAGGAAAGGGCCTCTGCTTCTGTATGCAGCCAGCTAGATTCATAAGAGTGTTCTCCAACCTTTTTGAACTGATTTCCAGAAACTATCAATCATGCCTGTTGAGTCTCTCACTACCTGAGCATGTCGACTGGTGCCATATAAAATTTGGAGTACAGATCAAGCATACACTCTTGATGTGCCCTCTCTCTAATAAGAGTTGGCTACTGTGGCAGAGTTGAATGAGAATTCAATTGTGATAGAAGTTAATTGGATTTATTTTTATCGCTGTGGTGCTGGGAAGCAGATGAACCTTTGAGTTTACATTGGCTCCCAGGCTATGTCAACTTGTCCTCAATGGTCTCACTGCCTTTCCCAGTCTTTCCCTAGACCTTTTTGCCTACAGTGTGACTGCGTGTATATCAATAAGTAGTGAAACAATTTAAGAGCTAGGAGGGCAGCAGTTGATGCTGTGGGCCTGATTTCTAGGCTATGGATATCTGGGGGTGGATTTGCTTTTGACTTTCTCTACTATGGGCCCATAAAATGAATTTCCTTTAACAGTTTGGGTGCAAGGTTTGTTATTTTTATCTGACCATGTGTAACATGCACTGCAGTGCAGACTGTGGGGGTGATTGGGAGATAAAGGCACATTTCTAATCCAAACACACACAAATATAGACACAGCCTACATTTCCCTCTTCGCAGCTCCCTTGTGAGGAAGGAGAGCTGGCTCAGAGAAATGATGCTCCCTAAATCAGAAAGACTGGTGTAAACAACAGGAGAAATGGAGAATAGAGACTTTCCCCCCATTTTAAGACATTTAAGAGGAGGCAAAACGTTCTTTGTATCAACTCATAATTTCAAATGGTTATCACATAATTTCTGTAGGAGGTTCTGGATGTTGCCTATCTGGTTTAATTTGGATCGAGAGGTCACTTGGCTTGTTCTTGTTCCCTGACTAAATGGACTTGATGTTTAGATTCATATTTCTTGAACTGATATTCTTCTTATGAATCTAAGACAGCTTTCCACAAACACTCCTAAATAATTGATACAAGTTGGCTATTTCCCTGGGAAAATGTATGTCTTAAAATATTTGCAAACCCCAAATTTGTATTAGGATTTAAATTTGAATTGGCATTTCCCTGCACAATGTTTGTCCATCTCCATTGTGTTTATATGCAGAGGTTATGTTTTTGGCAAGTTGACATTTCATATTTTTTCTCTAGTTCATTCTCCAGAAGGAACAAAAATTGGCTCAGATAGCAAATTCAAATGGAGTTTTTCCAGGTGCCTATACTACAGGTTCCCATTCACCATCTGAAAACTGAGCTATGGTCCTTATACTATCGCTAAGCACCCATGATAACAAAACTAGTAAACATTTTTCGGGGAGTTAGACTCATCAATCCCAGGTTATCTCTACCTGGAGTTCAGAAGCAGGGATAAGGAGAGCCAAGAGACACCCTACAATGTATTTGTGCCAAAGGAATGGGGAAAATGTACCAATGTCTCTTCTAGCCTTCTAAGGGAATGTTAGAAGAAAATCACTTTTTAAACTAAACCAAACAGGACAAATCAATAGAAAGAAAACAGTGACTCTAAAACAAGGGAGTAGCAAACTAGCTTCAGAACCATTTAAAATCGGATTTCCCCTTGGCACAAAGTAATCCTACTGTGCCACACTCCCTTACTTAAAACTGTAGGGAGGGAAAAGAAAAAACAAGGTGGGGGGGATAAAAAGACAAGGAAAAGCCTTTTAGGTCAGCCAGTCCATCCCTTGCTGATCCAGGCATGCTGCTGACTATTTTCACATCCATGAGTGCTTTGTCCAGGCTACTTTAACTCCATTGCTAGGGCTCCCATTCACTCTCAGGAGAGATCATTCCATTTATTTGTTATGAGTTGGCTGTATGGATTTTTTAAGTTTTATTTTCATTGACAAACCAAGCAATAAATATTGGGTTGCCAGGCCCAAACTTCTCCACAGTAGAGATTGGGTTTTTTTCATCTGAGAACGGGAAAAAGCTTTCAGTGTAGAATCATCTCCCCCTTCCTGCTCACCATCACGAAACTCTGACTACAGAAGCATCTCATTCATCCCCTGAACTGTAATCCCTAGAGAACTCAGAAATACTCCATAACCTGAAAACACTCTTTCTTTTGAAGGATAAGAAATAATGGACTGTTTCCACAGTAGGGAAAATGCAAGGTTTTGTCTTGAATTAGTGTTAGCTTTTACCAGGACACGGGGTTTTATATGTATTTCTGAACTAGACATGTGTTATGATCGTGTGTGTGTTCTCTGCCGCGTTGTCTCTATTACTAAGCAGAGTCTGTTTGTCTGGGGGTCCACCTTCCCGTATCAGACAATTCTGAGCCTGATTCTGATTCGTTTTGCACCACTGCTCTAAATCAGACAGTTGCTATCAGCAGGATGATTGATGCCAGCCTGAAGCAAAGGTGGGTGAGACTGACCTCATGCACTTTGCATTTCAAGGAGGAATCAAATTTTGCTTCCCAACTTTCACCTTTGGTTATAGGCGAGCAGTATCTAGCTTTGCAAAGGGAAGCAGTTGGAGGAAGACTATTCAGTTATATTGTGTTTTGACTGTGAATTTTCAGGCTGCTGTGCTAGGCATCCAGCTTTTTGTACCAACAGCAGTGCTAATATGATGTATTAAATGTCACACCAGCATCGCTGGGTATGCATATCTCTCCTGTTGTACTGCCTGTTTATGCTTATTCAGCTCGTTGAATAATTTAACACATTTCATACTCCAAATTACCCACAACAGTTTGACGGGGCTGCTGGCAGTTTACTTGAAACACTCTGTTAGGTCAAAGTAGGGCCCAAGCATCTGCTAAATGGAAGGACATCTAATATTTAGCAAAGCATAATTAGATGTATTCCTGCACACTTTTCCTTAAAAAAAAAAAGGTAACTCCATGTTAATCCCAGTGATACCATAGAATTAAAGGGCTGTACTTGACACTGCTGTCTGTAGCCCTACATCACAAAGGATTTGGCTGAAGAAGAATTGTGGAGGCCAATAGTTGCTGAGGACAGATAAAACTAAGCAAGCTAGCAAAGCTGTATCAGCATGTCATTCATGCAGTTGGAGAGCAGAGGTACTGATTGCCTTGGTACAGTTAGGCTGGAATTAGGGATTTGGGAAACTTCACTGACAGAAGTACAACATTTTTCTGGTTGAACAACCAACCTGGAAGCTAAAGCTAAAGGACCTTAAATTGCCAGCTGACTTTGAGAAGGGAAGAAAGCCTTCATGCTTCTCTCTGTGTTCTAGAGAGGATGTTAACATTTTGAGGCAGGAACTTTTAACTTCACCAAGGGAAGGAAAGTCCCAGTCTGTGTGTGTCTGTCTGAACACCAAGCTGGCCACATGCAGCCAAACTTGATGCTGCATTGGGCCAGCACCTACCTCCTGACTTGACTGGAGATGAGATGCAGCTGTTGGATATCTCATTGAGCACATGGACTGAGCACACAGTGGTCTATACTCATCCA